ATTAAAAAACAAAAGGAATAAAGTGAGTGTTCTTTAGAGAAAACTAAAATAAGGGAAAGTAGTAAGTGGTTTAAAGTCCATGAATAAAAATTGACATGATCCATCTCCCCTAGTGTGGTGTGATAGTGCAGGGGTGGGGGCATGCATAGTGCACTGGTGGGGATCACTGCAACACCGCCACACTCAGCCAATATATATTGGCGTGCACAGTGTGTGATTCATTCTAGCACATGCCTCCAAATCCAACTCACATGCCTCCTTCCTATGCTTTCTAACCCCACCATATATCTTTCTACATTCTAGAAATGCTAACAACATATTTTTTAACACATCCCTCTTAACACATTTACTTTTAATGGTAAAATCTGATAAAAGAAACATTAAATAAGATGTAAGATTCATCAAAATTTATGTTTTTCTTAATAAATTTTAAGTAATTAGAGAAAGTGTTTTTAAAATAGCATGCTATACTCACATTTCTCTCCTGGTGCCAATGTATCAAATTAATAATAACCAATCAAAAATATTTCATTACTCCACTGGTTTCTCATTAGGGCATGATGCAAAGGCTGTCTTTGACTCGCTGGCTGGTTTTGTTGGCCAGTTTCCAACACACGAATTCCGATCCAAAGGACAAGCTAAGGCCAACTAGCTAGGGTTTATCATTTCAAGTCAATGGAATCAATCTCCCACTTGCCCATGCCGTTGCAAACCATCCCCAACCACGCAATGTGTCAATTAATTGTCTCAATCAATTTGACCTTGTACCATTTTTGGCATATAAAATTTTGGAAAAAGCTAGCAAGTCTTTGAGGCACCCATTATAAGAAATAAAAAATAAGAATGTTTTTATCAATTAAAAAATTCACATTCTTTATTCTTTAATAGGTGTTCTCAATATACTAGTCAGCAAAACTCTAAAATTTGTTATATTCTTAAACACTTGGATTAATTTGAATATTTATACTAACAAGCTTAAAGAATCAAAATAGAGTTTTGTAATGACAACATGAAATTAAATTTAATTCAATTTTATAAAATAAAAATTGGTTTACACTAATATATGTATATACCTAAAATAAAATTTGTAATGACTAGAGATTATAATTAATCTAATAACAAGTGACACGATAACATCATTAAGATAAATTCTATATCATACTAAAAAAATGAAATTAATTTTAACTTAATCTTATAAAATTAATTTATAAAATAAAAATAAGAAGTAGTCATGTACTCTAACACTAATGGATTCACGATGGATAAGAGATGACAAACATTTTCATTTGGTGTTAGTGGAACTGGGCACGTAGTACATATCTGAAAGGATGAACGTGCTGGTCCAAAAAGATTGATCTCTTTTCTTTAGCGGCCATAAGGATTACCCAAAAAGTAGTGAGAGGATTGCCCGTGGTAGAAGGAAGATGCTCATCGTAATTGGTGTTGTTGATGCAAGTGGCCATTGTTTTATCCACAAACATTTGTTTAATTTATTTTCTTGCCCTGTCATTTCATGTAGTCTCTTCATTCAAACAAACACTCGGAATCAACAACCACTTAACCATATCCTTCTTGTCCAGCAAAAAAGGGCAAGTTTAGAAAATCTTATATTCATATCACTTCCCTATTGGGGAAAGTTTTCTCATGCCCCCATGGCCCCACCTCATATCATCATTATAACTGGTACGATACTTCTATAAGATATGGTGATATGGTGATTGATTATGTTCATATAAGGCAATGGCCTCAAAATTTGTACATCATGCATGCCGGCCAGCGTGAAACACCCTACATGCTCGTGTCATCCACACTAACCCTATTTATCTTATTAGGTCCTTAGGATACCATTACAATTACTAATACATTTACCAAAAATGATTAGCTTAACTTTCTCAAATCACGAGGTTACATCATGCCATGGGTACATAGGGTGGAACTTCTCATGTGACATTTTTATTTAATGAAATCTCAGTTCTTAATTAAAAATAAGAGAGAAGATTTTAATAGTTAAAAAAATATAAAAGATATGAGATTTTGATGGTAAAAATTTCACATGAGAAAATCTAAGTGAAAATTTCACATAAGAGAATTTATTTCTGTTCACCTTAATTAATATATAAAAAAAAGGTAGTTATTAAATATACTTTCAACTATACATTGCTAGCATAAGGAAAGGAGTAATAATACATATGCATTTCATTACTTGAAACAACTGTTTTTTTAACAAGGAGATATAATTTTTTTTCATGGAATCAGTCCTTATAAAAGAAAATAATACTTTCAATGGTAACCCTATGTCCAAAGCACCTAACTTAATTGCATCTCTCTCTATCTCTATTGATATATCTATATCTTATTCTGTGTGTGCAATGCTAGTTTGAAATAATACCTCTTTAAACATTCATTCATTAAACTTGTATATTGTAGTATTAGTTATTATACTTTCAGTGACGACTCCTTCAGTTTCAAATCTTTAGTCTTTTAATTTATTTATTTTTTCTTTTCTAAAGCAATTGTCATTTTAAAATTTCAAAATGTAACTAACATTTTTTTCAATTAATTATATACCAATTCTCAATAGACATTTTTCTCATCATTTTTTCACTTAATATTTTACAAAAATAAGATGATAAATTGTGATAATAAGGTATTAAATAAATATTTTAAAATCAATTTACATCTATTAAAATTTTCTTAATTCATGTATCCTTAAAGAACAAAAAGTTTAAGATGGGTGAAGTAATTATCTATATTCTCCATCTAAAGAGTTACTTAACAGTCAACAACAGGAGACCCCAGACTTCCAACAGATTATTTCGGACACATCAACTCGATCATATATTCTTTCTGAAATAGATACATTATCCCCATCCAATTTTGACAGAACAAGAATTAAATTTGGTGCTGGCATGTGTAAAAGTAATGCAAATGTTAATCTTACTGTTGGGGGAATGTGCTGAAGGCATAAGACTCAAACTCAAATCAAGCACTTAGCGTCAATGATTTACTTTGCATCAATAATGATTTAAGTAATATAAAGCATAAAGCAAATATACTTTAAACTGCTTTAGCGCCGCATTAGATATTTGCGTTTATGAATCTTTAATTGCATTTGTTGATCAATAATTGGCTAGTTTAGCTCGTGAACAGCATTTCCTTCTTTAATTAAAGCAAGGGATCGACCATGCCATTATAGTTTCCATGTGTTGCACAACAATTCGATCTATGCGTAATTACAACCATGAATATTCCTTTAAGATGGACTACAATAATGCTGCACTTAGTTTTTGACATGATCATTCAGAGCAAGAACCTTTCTCATTGACTTTCTGTCGTTAATAAGAATCGCTAGACATAACTCATCGTTTTTCAAAAAGTGGATATAAATTCGTTGAATATATGCTTAATCATACACCGTTGCTGTTGTTGATTGAAAATTTTGTTACCCAATGAGATTAATATGTAATTGTTACTTATAATATCATATGATATCTGTTCTAGCAGCTTTTGATCACGTGTACAATGACTAAAATTCCAAAGATCGAAAAGTTAATGTCCTTGCTAAGAATCGCATCAATGGAAAACACTTGCTAGCACTTCAAATTCAAGGGCTAATCAGATAGTAACTAACTAGCCAACTATTTGGTGATCTCATTTTCTTAACCATGTTATTATGGTGAGATATTTATTAGCTTTGTGAATGACTAATTTTGCTAAAAAAAAATTCTTTTAAATATCTTTTATATATATATATATATAACTCAAATTCGAGCACTACAAAAAATGTTATATAATATCATATAAAAAGTATCTATTATATATAAATATAAATTTATTTGATATATAATCATACATAATTTTAATATTAATTTTAAATAAAATTCAACATGTATTGTATGTTGTTATAATTTATACCTACATTTTTTAATAATTATAAGTATATTTATAAACATATACCAATATATATTATAGGTAAAATTAATTTTAGTAATAAGTATTGTACACTAGACGACAATTTTATTTTGCAGTAGAGACCTTATTTTTCAAATCTATTGAAACTAATGAGTTATTTATTTTCTAATTTTGATACAAGTTTATAAAATATTTAAGGATTGAAAGAAGAAAATGGCATAATTTATGAATCAGGACTCATTTATTTGTGTTTTCATTTTTTAATTACATAATTATCAATTTGTTTTCGATTTGTTTCTTGTTCTTACAGATTTGTACAATAAATATTGAAGAAAAAAAATTAAAAGTAAGACTTGAAAATGAAAATTCAAATAAATAAATATTTAATAATTAATATCATCCTAAACTTAAAAATAGACAAATAAATAAATAACTTCCGGAAGAAGAAGAATAAAAAGAGACAAATGGAGTAATTAATTTTTTGTTACCTAAGTCATATGTGTATGTAATCAATCCTTTGAAGAGACTTGAGAAACATGATTGGTGGTAAATGGATTTAGAATGTGAAGATGCCTTTAAGCTAGGGCTTATAAAGATCGTTGATAGTAGCAAAGAATAAATGAACTTGTGGTTGGGGTTGCATATGGATGTAGAGATTATAAAGTTTTTACAGTACTTCTGATTTCTCTTTTGCCATTCATTATAACAATTAAAATATTATAGAGAGAGCAATGGTTTCCTTTCGTTATAACAATTAAAATATTATAGAATGAGCAATGGAAGATAAACCCCACATTTATTCCGTGCATACATACGTGATGCAAGCAATTCCTCTTTCTGGCTCTATATATACCCCTGCATCCCCCTTCATCTCTTCACACAAGGCCAATTCAATCCAAGTTAACTTTGTCATTTGTTCCATATATAGAAAGTGATCAACAATTTTTTTTGTTAAACGTAGAGAGAAAATGCCTAAGGCCAGTTTGTTCTCTTCCCCTAACCCTCATCCAACCATCTTCAGCTGCAAGGGTAGCAAGCAACAATGATGATAATTCCACTAAATCTATGGAGATTAAGGGTAAGGGAGGTGACAGACGAGAGTGAGCACACATGGTACTTTCTTGGATGATAATGTTTCATGCTTGAAATTATGTGTGCTCACTCTCTATCTGTCACCAACTCTATTTCTATCACTTTGTTTTTCACTTTTACTATATATATATATCTACATATTTTGTTTCTTTCTTTTATCACTTTCCCTTCCATATGCTACAAGTAACCCTAGCTAGCAACTTAGACTCTTGCAGTCATATCACATTCCGTACCACAGGTATGTCTTTTCCATATAACAGTTATTGCTGCATATATGGGATTTTTCTTGATTAGGATGCTGATTTGAGTACATCAGTTTCATCATGAAAAGCAATTTTATTTCTGTTGATCTCAGGCACATATATGTGTGCTTATGGAGAGATTATTTTCGCAAATATATGTATATATGTGACTAATTAGTTGATGAATCTTAATCTGATTCTCTCAGTCAACCAGTTTAAGAGGTTAATTAAATGTTCACTAATTAAAGCACCAGGAAAATCCTAGCAAGTTAAGAAACAACAGTTTATGATTGCATCTGGTGATGTTTATATGAAAATTAACATATTATATGTAAATCTCATCCAAATTTTCTTTTACTCCTGATTTTGAGTTCGTACTAAACTATTAGGGTTTTGGAGGATACTCGGCTAAGAAGAAAAATTGATATCAGCAATGAACTTCTAGATTTTGCAGTGGAGGTGTTAGGTCATGGTTTAGGTTTACTCATCTCTCTTTCTTTCTAATGGTGTATTATTAGAATGTATTTATTTGGTTTGTTAGAAGGATGTTGGAGTAGCTTTTATATTCTTATGAATCAATTTAGCTTTTAAAATAAATTCAGTCACATTCCCTGACCTTCATGGAAGTAGTTAATCTCTATACCAACGAGCTACTTTAGTTAATTCAATCAATCTTCCATCACGGAACTTAATTTTAAAATTAATGAAGTATATTGATTAACTGTCTCCTTATTAGATACTATAGTACTTTAGCTTAAGGTACACATATTTTCAACCCCTGATATTTGTTTCACTAAAATATTAAGTTTTCATATATCACTTTCAGGTTGCAAAAAGTCTTGTTGAAATGGAGTACCGTCAAATGAATCATCCAGCAAAAGCTTCAATGGCGTGGGAAATTAAAAACAAATATATGTGTTTTTGTATATATTTATGGTTGAAAAAAAGGAAGAGCTCTGGGAAAGGGAGTTGTTGTGGTGGTTAATTATCTTGTTATATGCCAACATGATGAATGTATGTGTATATTTAATTTTTACAGAAACGAGTGATGACATGGATAATAAGGATTTATACACAACCATGTAATACTTTGATCAATATATATGTGCCAGTCCATGTTAAACAGTCATAATCATGCTAATTAATTGTGTAGGGATTGCTGCTATATATTGAGGGTGAAAGTGCAAAGGGTTTAAAAAAACAAGTTAATAAAGTTTTCCATATTTTGATGTTTGACTGGTTGCATCGCTAATTTTAAGTTTCTCTTTCATTGCTTTCATTTTCATTTATCTCACAAAAATATATTATTGTTAACACAATTCCTAGTTAAATCAAACAGAACTACTCATAATCAATTCTAGCTTTGTTGTAAGCACACATTTATCCTACTCTTTATTTTAGAGATTTGTTTGTTTTTTACTCAAGGTTGTTTCTAAAGATACCGAGCCATAAAATATTGAAACATAATAAAAACAAAAAATAGTAAAAGCGTTTTGCATGTAACCTGTCAATTTCTATTAATGGGAGTGTCATGTCATGAGAATTTCATCTTCAAGTAGTGTCATTTTATCTAAAATAGCAATTTTTCTGAAAAAGAACTATTAATGGAGTGTGTAACTATACATTTGGATTTGAACTTCATCTGTTTCCTTTCCAATTTAAGCATGAATTCTGATCAGAGCAAGAAACAATATACTTGTTATATACACGGTTTCTTTTTGCTAAGCAGATTAATAATTAATAATACGTGAGTTAACATGCTTCCACATTGTAAAGCATATAAAGTATAGGTACCGAACTAGTTATCATGTAATTGTATATATAATATATCACGACAAGAACAAAATTTAGCCTGATAAATACTTATAGTTTTTTAGTTAAAACCTGTAATTTATGATATGAAAACTCACAAATATTTAATAGTCGAAAATCTTAACAAAATAATTAAAATACTTCATAATTTCTCACCCAAAAAAGATGTTTCGTCAATTTGATTATATAAGCATAGGAAACCACCAAAATTTCACAGGTGAGATATTGGATTCGTATTTGCTATGGTAAGAAGCTCAAAGAAAACTAACCTAATTATTTTCTTTGGGAAAACCCCTTAAGCTGTTGAAGATTAAACAGCAAGTATTGCCTTATATTTAAACAAAGGAATTTTCGATGGAAGAGTAATCCTCACATTATTGTAACGGAAAGGTAAATAGAGTGAGCTGCATCCTATGCAAATATAGAACCGAAGAATATTATGAGCATGCAGCCAGGAATAAACTGTTCATAGAATATGAACATACTTTTTAGTCTTTTTATAACATAAAAAATTATATATAATTTAAGGCTTTTATTTGAATAAAAAAGTGAATGTGCTAGCAATGAATTCAATAGCAGTAGCTTGAGTGGTCCTTGTTTTCATTTCTTTATTTCTGAAATTTCATCCGTACAGAGGAAGGAGTAAGTTGAGCTCCATTGGTTTAATGGACTTGTTGGATAAGAATACCATCACCAAGAAATTCTCCTTTGCCTTTACTTGGACCGCATTAACCATAGAGAAAATAATTATAATAAAAAATAAAATAAAATAAGCTAGAACTGTATTAAATAAATTATTATCATAGATGGATAATTGGTCTTTTTCACTGCTTTGATTTATCTAATCCGGCAACTACATTTGAATCTGAACAAATTCTAACTGAAATTAATATTTAACATATTCTGTGTAAAAAGTATTGAGCAATAATGCCACCCAACAAACTCATGTTATAGCAGAAATAAAATAAATTAATTTTGATACTCTATTAAGGTAAAGATTTTTAAATGTCTACCAATTAAAAATCAATAAAAATAATTATTACAAAAATCCACAACTTGACTATACATAATCTATAATTAAATGACAATATTAAAAAAAAAAATACACTGTTGGCACATTCAAATTACTATATGTAAACAAAAAAGTGCTTTATTTTAGCTTGTGTATTTAACTCTTTACTAGTCTAAAATGGATATATTACCATGTAGAACCATAGAAAAAGTGTTGTTACCCCTCCTCAATTGACAATCATACTTACTAAACAAAAGGTGGTCCTTTTGCATTTCCAAGCAAGTGATGCAGAGTGCATAACCACCATGAGTCCATGTCTAATAAGGCCCCCAAGTTGGGGAGCTAAACAACAAAATTCATTAATAAATAAAATAAAACAGAAATCTCGACCACAAGTCCCCATCAAAAACTTATACAAGTGAGCCTAAGCGGTTTGTCTAGTACTTAAATGAATCAACTAAGAAATTACATTTCACTTCTCACTTTTAATTGTAATGAAGAGAAGAATCAAGAAACCAACTTATTTTGAGCAAGAATGCTAAACTTAATATCACTCCTTGCAGAAGAGCAAGATGTTTAATGCTGTACTTGGAAGATCATCCTTTAAACCATTGTCAACAAACCAATTGCCAATAATGCTCTGAGACAAATCAGTTGAAGTTCCAGCAGGCCACTTGTCCACTAATCTAAACCCAAAATCGGCTGCAGCAGAAAGCAAGGTTGGTTCGTCTACTCTGCGAAAGATGTGGCAGAGAACAAGTGCAGGAACATTATCATCTTCACTGCTTCCAGTTGGAGCAATCAGTTCTTTGGCAGTTGCAAACAAAGGCAATATAGCTTCAGGAATATAGGTCACATCTGTGCCCATGATGACATCAAAGCCTTTATCGCTCACTACTTCCTTTATGCTTTCTATGTGGTCCTTGTTTCCCCACTCCAGCTTTTTTGTGGTTAGTTTAGTCAGTAATGATGGCTCAATGTTGGATGCAACATTTTTGGCCAGGAGATCAAGAGCAAAACCATCTCCATCTGTTGCAACTACTAGATCAGCATATCTAGCAGCAATCATCGAGCAGATTCCCCCACTGCCGCACCCCAACTCGAGGACCCTTTTTCCTGCAACAATGTTGGGATTTTCTGCGAGAACTGAAGCCATCAACCGAGCCGATTCCCACAGCATCAAACCTGTTGACTTGCAAGTGTGTTGGTACTCTTTTGAAAGTAAACTAATCTTGAAATCCCAGCCTCTAAGATTGATGTCAATAATCTAACAGGAAAAACTCGAGTCATGAAAAGTGAACATGTATATGTGCAAAAACAGTGGCGATGAAGCTTTTGTTAAGGACATAAATGCTCCTAATTAATCAAAATTGAGAATAACAGTGAAGGAAAATTAGGCTTCTCATTTCCAAGAATTTGTACAAAAATTGCTAAAATGGGAAAAGAAAAAGGGCCTCCACAATTGCCAACAGATATTCAAATTTTGTGGAACATCTGAAAGAAGTAACCTCAGATAGAATATGTTTAGATACTGAGAAAAAAAATTGTGTTAGAACTAAAGAGAATCAGTAATGACAAAGCTAGAGTGAGAGCCTTACATCATACTCACTGGAAGGTAAGACTCCGAACATGTCAACTGCCACACCCTCAGACAAGTCAACTGCAGAGTCATTTAAACTACCATTCAAATTATTTTGCTTGATTTCCTTATCAACTTTATCACTATTAAGATCGTTGGCCTCAGCTTCTTTACTGGAAGAAGAATCGGAGCTATCTGATACACGAAATACAGCTTGGACCCAACGCCTGAAACCAACAAACAAAGCAGAATAAAAATGAATAAATATAGTCAATATGTGTGAAGGCAAACAAATATAATCTCATCACTAAAATCTAAACCCACAGGAGATCAAGATAACAATTTGTATGATAGGTTACATAAAGCATAACACAACTCTTTTAAAACTATTATTACCATATATTATATAAAAATGAGCAAAAGGAACTTGTGCTAGAATATATTACCGATTCATTATCAACTCCCTTGAGCGGTTCTCAACTTGTTTGCAGTATACATGAAGCTTGTGAACATCAAAACCATTTTCTTTGAATAAATTTGTCAAGAACTCATTCGAAAAATAGTAAGCACGCTGGAAATGAAACGAAAGGAGTATCCATCAGAGTTAAGCCGCTAAGGTACAAGGTAACATGGGCAGAACTGAAAACTTACAGTGCCATCACCTCTAACATAAAAGTTATCACTAATCTTTTGATCCTTGCCAGAGAACCTTTCCTATAGAGCATAAAAATAGATATACAAATCATCAAATGCTCAAATAAAAGGAAATCCCCAACCAAAATTTGCTAGTCAAATAGTTTCCATTTCCGACACTGAAATGGTAATTAGTTTGATGATACCATATTTTAGTTAAGGAGTTAGGGTCTAGCAGTTTCACATTGAATAAGCAAGTAGTCTAGAACTGCCCCGCCTTGGTATAATCATAGCTAAAGCCTAAAAATACAGACATTAATATTTAAAATGTTTTAATGTTAAAACAATAAGAATTATATTTGGATTTTTCTGGTCATCAAAGATAAATTTTTCTTTTTCCAAATCACTTATCAGTTATCACTAATAGTATCATCTTTCTGTAAAAATTTAGTCAAAATGACTACAAGTTTGGCTTTTCTGGAACAAATCTGAATATTCTTTGCTTCATTTATTTCCCTCTAGTTATGTTTCATCAATAAATTTGTATGACCATCAAGGAACTTTTTTACTGTTTGTTTATTCCCTAAAATTTAGTTATATTTCTATTTACTATTGTTTTATAATTATCAGAAGAAAATAAATTGGATAATAATTGCGCACTTCTCAATTTTCTAGTAGAAGAGTTAAAAAGATAAAGTTCAACAAATTCCACCTGAGCAAGGTCTCCAGTAGCATAGTCTCGGAACAACACATATCCATTTGGCTGCAAAAGGAGAAAGGGTATGACTTTCATCACATGCAAACTAGTTATCTAGCAAGGTTTCTGGAAAATATAATGAATTATATTTTACCTTGATAACTTTTCTAACATTTTGCAAAACTAGAGGCATCTTTTCTGGGGACACTGCAGACAACATAAATATCTGCTTACCATGTCAGCCACAAAAAGAAGAGTCTTGCCGAATACTAAATAATAAGAAAACAAAAGTTATCTTGAATAAGGCAAGAAAATGACACTCACTCATCCAAAACTATTGATGTTTAAGGGTCATGCACACATCTTAAGAAATATTTAATACTAACTATGTTCCTCTATATAAAACCCAATTATTTAATTCTCCAAGATTAAGAAAAGTAGTTAATGCAGTTGATAACAATAAAGTTGTCTTATCTTTATATTTTTCTCCGAAACTATCCTTATACAATTTCTCTCTCCTAATTAATATTCTTTCTCTCTTAATTACTACAACATTTCACCAACCCTTTTTAATTAGGGGCATTCTAGTCTGAAAATAACTATTACATAAGACAATATGGATTGAGTCTTATATAAAGAATTAAAGATACAAGAAATTATTCTAAGTTGGATCTTATAAATAGAAACAATGGTAGTACTGCCCATAAACTAGTATTTTTAGTCTAAAATACTCTCCTTTGATATTTATAATAGTAGTTGTGGAGTAAGACATGATTATTAAAAGGGGTATATGTGGAAAAAATAATAATTAATGAGACTTGGAATTTGTAAAACATCAATAGATTTGGAATGAAAAAGAAAGGTTTAAACATCAATAGTTTTAGACCAGAGGGAGTAGCTTGCAACAAACAAAAGCAAATGTGATCACATAATTACTCTACATTAACTTTAAGATTTAAACTGCCATTCAGAATTTCAGATACCATTGTAACAATATCAACTGAAGATGGAAGAATCTCTTTGCACAGATCATCAGCTGTCAAATCAGAGACAAAAGCACTAACATGGGATTCCTTGAAGTCTTCATGTGTCTACAATAAAAATTAAAAATTAAAAATTACAAAAAAGTTTGTTCTCAATAGATGTATATAAACAAAAAGTATCACATTTCTTTATTTTATAACAGAATAGATAAGCAATAAAAATTCATTCCTCTTAAAAAAAATAATGTGTGCCATTTTATCATAAGAGAATTAAGAACACCTAAGGCCCAAAGTTAGCTAAATTGTGGAAGACAACCACCACATGGAAGTATGGAACATTCTAATGGGAGAAAAGTTGCAAAATTTCATTTACATCCTAGATTCCTAATGAATAAACTCTGTAAAAGTGGTAGTTTACACAATTGCACTTGTAATGTGGCATTAAAAACCACAAACTAGGATGGTTCCTCATTGTCTATCTATTTGAGAAAACATGATTTACAAAATGTTACAGAGACTTGTCACTTGTGTGAATTTATATTTCTCTGTATTATGAACTTTACCAAAAATATTCACACTAAACGATCTGTTGGGGAATACAAGAGGGTAAAACACCAAAGAGATTTCCATTAATGACCTACAAAGAGACTACACAAGTGAACTTGACACCATATCCAAACCAAAACCTTAAGACATTAGGTTTGCGGGATTCTCCGCATATGTCACTCAAATCATCCATTCCTACCGACTGTGGGACTTCTTACTCACATACTTGCAGTCGAATAAAATTAAGATTGAATCAAGAAGCATACAGCCAAGTCACTATACAAGCACACATACAGATGATGATTGGACATAGAGTTTACAAAAAGGAGATTTCCAACCTTAACCAACTCAATAGCTCGTGGTGAGAAATCACATGCATAAACAAAAGCATCTGGATATGACGCGATCACGGGAAAGATGGTATTTCCAGCTCCACAGCCAACCTGTTTAGCAGACAGCATCACTTATTAAGAAACTTACTAGACCAAAGACCTCCTGGTGAGGAGCAAAAGCAGAAAGTAAACGTCATCAATAAATAACCATTACAAATATCACAAATGATGAAGAGAAGAAAAGAAAATCAATGCAGGAAGGATCTGTATCCAAAATCACAGTATGTTTCGTACAAATCTTATAACCAGAATAACTATCCTTTGTTTCACATTAATCCAATTGCAACATTGTGGCATGAGTATATGCTCAACATTATAATTCCTGAGTCACCTAAACAATAAATTAAAAAACCACAGAAGCAGAAAGAGTATGATCCGGGCAGATATACCTCCAAAATCACTTTTCTCCCTCCTCCCTGAAAATTGAAAATCACTTAAACCATTACAACACATTGAAAAAACACAAATGAAACTAAAAAAAAAAAAAAATAACATAAAGTTATTTCCTATCACTCACAGAAAAGTACTCGCCCCATTCCTTGTCCAAGTAGTGCCGATCTTTGAAAAACTGAACAAGATATTATCACCAAAGTCAAATTACACATAGCAAATGCCTTGAAAATTAAACAAAGAGCCTTAAAAACTAGGTAATTGATATACATCAAAAGACACCACAAACAAGAGGAAACCAAGCAGTATTGACCGAACATACAAGCGAGCAACAAAATTTGAGTTAACAGATAACACAAACACAAACACAAGTACTAAGAAACTAACTCTGTCCTTGTGGCGCTTGTAGAAAACATCCCAATACCTCTTGGCCTCTCTTTCGTACTTTTCTGCAAACAAAAACCCAAAAAATTAAACTTTTTTCATTTGGGGGGAATTTCAAATAGAAGAGAGAGGTACCTCTCCAGAAAGGGGTGACCCCAGAATTTGTATTGGGATAAATTTGCAACCTTTGGGTTTGGGATGGTGCTTTTTGCTCCCCCGATGCCATTGTCGTGCCTACTTTGTGAGTTTTACTTAAACACAAGGGAATGTTAGAACAAGTGAGATCAAACATTTGTTTCAATGAAATTGCAGAAAGAAGAGGCTTTTGTACGCACACTTCAAAACCCACCTATTGTCTTTCTTCAAGCATTTGCTAAATGCTAAAGCTAAATGCAGTTTCAAGCTTCGGGGTTTATCCCTCTTTCTGCTAAGTTTTTGTGTATTTAGTTAATTTTTTTTTTATTGAAATTAGGGCATTAGTATTCAGTAGCACTGAGCACGGTGGAGGCTAAAATATTTGATTAAAGGTAATAAAATATACAGGATAATTATTTATCTTATATAATTAAATTTATAATAACTAAATATTTTTAATATAATTAAAAATTATAATAAATGAAGTTTTTTCATAAAAATTATATTTAAAATTTATGATAAATAATTATATCATGATATTAAATTATTTATAATTGTTAATAATTATTTTCAGAAAAAATAAATAAATATGAAAGATCATATATTTAAAGATATAAAATAATAATAATAATAATTTTTTTGTTTTCATATACTAAATTGGTTCAAAAATAAATTGAATATGTAATGTTTAAAAAATAACAACTTTTGTCAACACTTTTTTTTTGTAATTTTAAAGTTTATTTAAAATATTTTATAATAAATAAATAAATATATTTGATAAATATTTAAGTTATTATTTTTAATTATCTCTAAGAAGAAGAATTTAATCATTAATATTAATTTATAATTTTTATATCTTGACACTTTTTTAATTTTATTATACATTAATTTCACTCTCTTTTTTAATTCTATACCAAAAAAATTTATTGTTGATAGATATTATTATATTTTATTAAATTTAACATAAATATTATATTTGGACTTTTTTTTATCTATAGAAAAAATTACACAGGATCAAACCTTCTACCCCAACCAAATACTATACTTGGACTTTTATGGTTACTTTGAATATTGAAATTTTATTTTGATTTTCAGTTTTATGAAATCATAATATTATTTTTATTTAATTCTATTTATGTATTATTTAATTATTGTTATTATTCTATTAATATTAATTTGACTATAATTAAATCATTGAATTTTGAATTAGTGATTTAATCTATTTAACGATTGATTCAATTTTAAAAACATTGTTTATGTGAAAATGTATTTAGAGATATCTATTTAATCATGGTATTTTTAGGTGATCTTTCTTCAATTAGAGAGTTATAGGAATTCTTTTAAATTTTTTGTGTATTTTAATATTTATTTATAAATTAAATTTTAATATTTTATTTAATATAAAATGTATAATATAAATTATATAATTTATATATTATAATATATTATTTATTTATATATATAATTAATTATAAATTTTAATTATATATAATAAATATTTAGTTTGTACATTATATAGGCTAAAGTATTAGTACTAAAATAAATATGAAAATGTTATATTTAAAGAGATAAGAGACAAACATTTAAATAAAAATAGAAATAATGTAGAAGATAATATTTGAATTTTGAAAATAAAATATATATAGTTTATTTTGATATTTAGATATCATAATCAATGATTCATTTGATATAAAAAAAAATAAAATAAAATACAAGAGATACTTGGACTTTAGGAAAGTAAAGTTTATCCATTGTCAAAATTCAAATGAGAATGAATGTGAGGAAGTGTGAAGAGAGTTGGACATTTATAGAGAGAATGATTTGTTGGTATTTGACTGGTTAAAAGTAAAGAGATTTCACTTTAGAAAATAAAGTGCAATAATAATTATTGATTAAAATAATAAAAATAGATTTTATAATTAATTTCAAATTATATTATACATGTATTTAATAAAAATTATTATTGTGTTTTATCCTCTAAAGTACACATTTATTTTAAAGAGTCAAATCCGACTTGTTGCATTCCTGATTTAAGAATACAACTCCTATTGGTATTTTATTTTTTTGTGTTACACAAGCTAATCTTTAATTATAATAAATTATATATACAAATAAATACTATATCTAAATATATAAATTATAATAAAAATTGTATAAATAAATATTTTTTAAATATATAAATTATATTTTAAATTTTTAATAAATAATTTATACGATGACAAAAAATTATTTTTAATTATTGATAATATATTTTAAAATTATTATTTTAATTTATAGATGAATATGGTAAATAAAAATTGAATTAATTAAGAATCTGAAAGAAATTCTGAAAAATTCTCATTGATTTTATTTTTAAATATAATAAAATTTAATTTTTAAATAAGTGTGATAAATAAAAATTAAATTATATAAGAAGTTAAAAAAAATTCTAAAAACATTTTCATTAAAGAAAAATATCAAAGAAAAAAATCAATGATAATGGCAACTGTAATGACAATGGTGCTAGTAGAGGTAGTAGTCATATGCAATGGTGCAATGGAGGTAGAGGTGATGAAGATAATGACAATAATAGAAAAAATTACAATGCGACGATATATTTTAATTTAAGGATTGTTAATAGTTGGTCTCATATTCTAGGAGGGATCCATTTACTCAAAGAGCAAGTCTACATAGACTTACTCTGTTCAATAACTCATGTTCTACATTAAATTTTAATAATCCAACTATTGAATTTAAAGTTTTAATGCATGGATCAAATCTATAAATTTTTTAAAAATTTGAAAATTATTTGATGCTTTGTTTCATTAATCTAAATCAATGTATAAAATGATTTTATGATTATCCGTTAATTTGAATTAATAAAATAAAGTATTAAATGATTTTCAAATTTTTAAAAAATTTGCAGACTTGGTTTATGCATTAAGAATTTCAAATTCAATGATTGGATCGTTAAAATTTGATATAGAACACGAGTTATTAAACAGAGTAAGTCTAGGTAGACTTACTTTTGGAGTGAGTGGATCTCTCCTTTATTTCTCTCTCTCTCTCTATATATATATATATATATATATATAGAGAGAGAGAGAGAGAGTGAGTGAGGAAGAGGATGAGGAGGAGGAAGAATTCATTTACTTTAAAAGAGTAAGTATTTGACTTTTGATAGAATTATTTCACTCAAAACTTATAATTTATGCTGAATTTCAAGGATATATTTGTTGAATTAAGAGTTCTTAACGAATAAATAAACTCTACAAAAATTTATAGAATTTAAAAATTATTTGATATTTCGTTACATTAATTTAAATTTATGGTTATTCACAAAATATTATATGTTAATTTTAATTAATATAAAAAGGTATCAAATGATTTTCAAACTCTAGAAAAATTTGTAGAGTTGATATATTTACTATGCAAGGATAATAGTAATAATCTTATAAGGGAATGTTTATAATTAAATTTTATTCTTAGTCAATTGTTATTTTTATTTATAATCTAAAGGTTATGATTTATTGATTTCATCTCTTGTAATAAGACATGCTCTCATTATGTATATATATATATATATATATATATCTCTCTCTCTGTGCGTGCGTGCGTGCGTGCGTGCGTGTGTGTGTGTGAGAGAGAGAGAGAGAGAGATTCACTTACTTTAAGAATAAGTACAATTAGACTTATTTCACTCAATAAGTCATATTTTATATTAAATTTTAACAATTGAGTTAAAAGTTTTTAATGCACAGATCAAGTCTGCAGATTTTTAAAAAAATTTGAAAATTATTGGAAACCTCATTATATAAATTTAAATCACTATAGAAATTATTTTTATGATAATTTATCAATTTAAATTAATGAAACGGGATATCAAGTAATTTTCAAATTTTTAAAAAATTGTAAATTTGATCTACTCATTAAGAATTTTTAATTTAACAATTAAATTATTAAAACTTAATGTATATTGTAACGACCCGCTTAGTCGCTCCACAGCAAACAACACCACGCAGAATAGAGCATACATATATAAAACAGAATATATACACATATGTCTAGCCTGGGACTCAAAGTCAATATACAAAATACAGTCAAATTGCTACACTAAGTAGCCAAAACATCAAAAATATCATCTTCATTTGCCAGCTACAGACCTGCCTCAACATATCAACCTATCCCTACTCTGCTCTCATACATAGTATGATCATTGTAGTGCAACCCACATGGAAACAATAAGGGTAAGCTAGTGAAAAGAATCAACATATATATATAATTACAGAAATTATAAACAGCTACAGGTCATCAGCACATCATTGAGTTCAGCAAGATCAGCATACAACACATCACATATACAACTCACATCATTCAGCAAAAACAACATTAAACAAATAATGCGTCGTCACACATATCAGCTTGGAGATCTCCTACAACAGCTCAGCCTTATGGCCTACAACAGCTCAGTCTTACAACCTACAACAGTTTATATCAGCATGCAGCACAACACAACATAACAACATTAACAACATATAACATACGGCACAGCTCAACTTTTACAATAATACAGCTTAAACATCATAATTCAGCATGAACATCTGACAGTACAACTCATCATCAATCAACTCAACAACATTCATCAATAACAGCTTAACTCAGCAAATATCAACCTATACCAGCATATATCAGCATCTATCAACATGTATCAGCATATACAAAAGGAAAACACATCTGCGCCCGGCGCAAGAGTACTCGCACCCGGCGTGGACCAACTAGAGAGCTCTAAAGCTCAAACGCGCTCGGCACAATACCAATTGCGCCCAGCGTAAACGAAGGCAGAGACTCTAAGGAGCCTCATGCACCCAGCGTACCAAACCCGCGCTCGGCGTAGGAAAGGCAGAGACCTCCCTAAGGTCTTATGCCCGGCGCAATAGCAATTGCGCCCGGCGCCACCCCTGGTAGAGACCCAAGGAGTCTCCACGCCGGCAAGACATAGTCACGCCCAGCGCCACACCAGAACCCCAAAATGCCAAGTCACTAACTGATATCACGCCCAACACGGTCCAACCACGCCCGGCGTGAGACATCCAGGGGCTTCCATTCTCAAGCTCGCCCAGCGCACACAACCTTGCGCCCGGCGGGCTTGCACAATAGAGCCCTCTGATGGTCACGCGCCCGACGCCAAGAACTGCACCCGGCGCCCTACCAAGCAGCAACTCTCCAAGTTCAAAAATTTTCATCAAAACCTGCACAAACAACTAATCCAAGCACATGCAAACCATTCAAAGAACCACATTTGCAACC